TGGGACTTTTCTTCGGGCAGTTAGGGCGAAAATTTCCATATTTCCCACATTTCAAACACTTTCTTACACTTTTGCCCGATGAAGTTCGTGCAAACTTGAATGTTCTCTTGGTCTTCCCAATTTTTGGGTCTTTCACACTTGGAAGAGGTGCTGGAGGGTTTGTAGGTGCACTGGTATCCATTCTCTCCCTCGTGAACTCAATTTCTCATTGAGTAAAGTTATCCAATGCTAAGGAGACATGATTAAAAGCAGATTCATTACCACATGCGATGTCACACAAACGCTTACACTTTAGTGACAGTCCCCCTTGTCTTTTCAGCCGACCGACTTTCTCTGCCACATCACCTCCAACTCCAGGATTACAAGATAGTGTCTTTGCATTTTGGGTCCATCAAATCTTGAACCACGTGGAGGGTAGTGCTGTAAATCCCTTATGTTTTATGATTGTAAGCATATGTCTGTATGAAAACCCCTTGGATTCAAACAATGCACACTCACATTTTAGATGTTGAGTGGTCGTAGTATATGTTAACCTCCTTATCCGACTGGGGTTCATGCAGTTCTTTAGAATGAATGTCTTTGTCCCATTTGTTTCAGTTCTTGTTTATGTTAACACATAATAAGCTTCGTTCTCTAGTTCACACTTGAAGATAGCAAATGTACGATGTGTGTAGTTACTTTCAGCTTGCAGTTCCCATGTGCGAAGGGCATGCTTGTCGACCAACCTCGTGTGCCTAGAAGAATAATCATCATGCAGCTCTGTTTAACGCATCTCTTCCAGTGCTTCATCGATGCCCTGAATAAAACGTTGCAAGCTGTATTGAGTTCCTACATACCCATTTATCCAATGGTTACATGACTCACATCACGAGGTTGATTGGAGTCCACCGAAATAAATATCCTTCAAGTATGCCTCTGCCCAATGTAATTTGTCAACATACAAATTCTGCACCACTTATTTGCAGACAAACCATGCTCAGTAATCAAACATTCCCAGGGGCTCTCAAACTCCTCAGTTTTTATACGTGATTTCGCCATGTGGGTGAAGGCACTAACGAACTTTCTATTATGAACAACTGTTGTCGCATTTGTCTCAATATGCCAGATAGACAGTCGATGCGGCACTCCAACCAGTACAGTAGAAATGGCATCATGTATAGACTTGCATCAATCTGTGATCACTAAAGTCGGCAGTTTAGAGTTCATACACTCCAGAAAAGTATTCAACAACCAAATGTAGTTGGAGATTGTCTCGTTATCCAGCTGGGCAAAACCATATAAGATGTTACGGTGGTGGAGATTTACACCAACCATCATAACAAATGGCCGATTGTACTTGTTGCGCTTGTAGCATGCATCAAATGCCAAGACATCCCCAAAAAAATGGTAATCTGCTCTGGATGTGGAGTCCGACCAAAAGAGATTCTTTAATTCAGCTTAATCGTTGGTTGTGTACTTGAAGAATTTGTCAGCATCATAAGTATGATTACTTTGCAAGTAACCCAATGTTTGGTTCACATCTCCTATTAGATCGTCGTCAACTGTTCGGGATTTCGGAATAGCGTTATTGACACGCCAAAACACAACACCAAACTGCGACCAAGTGTAATCGCAGTCCGGGAATGCAGTAACAGGCAAGTTCAATTATCAACCCGGGGTCTAGATCTACTGCTTACTCCGTGATTATCTATTATCTAGCAAACTAATTCGAGTGATTGTTGTTTAAAGCAAAAGCAGTGAGAAAGCAGTAAATTGTTCGGTTTTCAAAGTCAGGAAAGAGTCACTCGGGATTGAGTCCCCCTAGCCCCTTGATTAGGTCCAATTGTAATTACCCTGGGTTGATTCACTGTTGATTAGACTGCGGAAGTTCCGACAGTAGCTTGGAATCTCTTGAGCTGACCAAGCCCTCTCAGTCTAACTACCCGGCAGACGACTAGTCTTCACCGGGATAGAAAGCTGAGGCTATGAACACAGAATTCCACTACTGGAATTGAATTCCAGTACAAAGCAGTAAATTGGCTAACTCTCGTATAGCCAATCTCCTACTATCGAATGAAGAGGCTCTAACAACCTAATCAGATTCTATCTATCTCAGGTTGCAGCAGAAATCGAGAAAAGCTGATCAGACTCCAATCAATTCAATAAACATGCATCATTCGATTAAAATCAAACAGTAATATCATCCCAAGTTATTACAATCAAATCCCTAACACAAGGAACTAGGGTTCTTCATACCCAAGTGAGAGAAGGGTTCTACTCCATAGAGAGAGAAGAGAAAATAGTAATCGGAGTAGTCATACTCATAATGATGAGGAAAATCTGCTCCGGGATGATGATTTCCACTCCTATGACGATCTCCAAGCTTGATTCGATGAAACCCAGCTCCAAGATAGCTTCTAGGATGTGTTCTTCGTACTTTCTCTCTCTAGGGCTCTGTTTTTGCTCTGAAAATCCGATTCTCCCACTTTTGGCTCGAAATTGGCTCAAAAACCAGAATTTCCCGACTCACACGGGCAGGCCACACGGCCGTGTGGCTCACCACTTTGCCCGTGCGAGTCGAAACGCAGCGCATCAATTAGTCGATCTTCAGCCATCTCACACGGCCAGGGATGCACGGCCGTGTGAGAATCCCAGTCTGCCCGTGTTTGGCCTCGGCAAAAATCACACGGCCACAATTGCACTTTGCACAGCCGTGTGAACTTCATGGGTTGCCCGTGTGTGGCCTCGGTGGAAATCACACGGCCACCTTGCTCACTTGCACGGCCGTGTGATGCCCCGGTCTGCCCGTGCGGCTTCCTTGAAACCTCGCCATTCGTTCGATCTTCGTCCAATCGACCCCAGACTCGCTCCCAAGCCTCCATTCACGTACTAGGACCTGAAATATCACAAACAAGCACAACCTAGCGTGAAATCGGCCTAAAACACGAGAATCAACACCTCAAACGGTGTAAGAACGGGGGTAAAAACATGTGTAAATAACGGTCTATCAGTTATCAAAATCCTTTGGAGTGTACTCCAGATTCTTATATCCTCCAACTTTATTCTTCATGAACTGAACAATGTGGCATTTTTTTATTCCTAACTGTCGCGTCTCTATCGCCAAAGCCTTGTCTCCTTCAATCACATTTCGATGAGACCGAAGAAATTGAGTTTCTTCTTCATTGCAGCAACAATGTGAGTGCTTCCTCTCGAACTTAGAAACAACCCACATTTTCTTAGTCCGATCAAAGCGTAAAGTATATGATGCCTTGCAAGAATGTCTTGTCATCTTACGATGTTGCCATGTCCGACCATCTTTATCTATATGCCCCTTCTGTCTAATTCCCTCTCTTGAACATACCATTGACCTCCGAATTACTACTCCTTGACAACTCCTTTGAAGATCTCTACGTCGAACGCTAAACCCTTTCGCTTTAGCATAGGCATCATAAAATTTCTCTGCATCTTCTAATGTTTCGAACTCCATGGAAGGAATTTGTTGTTCATATTCAGTAGCTTCTTCGTCATCCATAAATTTTTCTTCAACACCCTCACTTTCCTCATCGTCCCCAATCACCTCATCATCTGTATCATTTGTATCATCTGCATTATCCATAGGTCCTCCTCGAGCATCCTCAGGTTCCTCATCGAAGTTAATCTCGTCAACATATGTATCAAAATTAGGTCTCGTCAGGTCGACCTAGATCAACTGTACGGTCGACCTTATCACCAAATTACACAGCTGAGGTCGACCGGGATCAAGTGTATGGTTGACCTTATCACAGAATTACACAGATGCGGTCGACCTAATTAGGAAAAAAGTGAACCACAGAGAATCGTTAACCAGCACACACGACACATCGAAGCATACCTTAGCAAACAAGGTCGGCCACTTAATTATAAGGTCGACGGGGAGTAAGAATAAACCGCCACCAACACACGATTACAATAAGAGCAATTATATTACAACTTCACTCCAACAAATTGCATAAATGAAAGTATGAATAAAGTCTTAAGACTTCCATCTATTTATAGAGAATGTAGACGAATTCCTTATCCTTACTAGTATGGGGAACACTTATCCCAATTGGTCAATGATTTATAAAATCATAATTCGACAAGGACAAGTATGAAAAATCCTAATTGGACAAGGAGAAGTACATAATAATCTAATTCAACCCATTTAGATCGTACTCTTTACACGAATAGTCGACCGTTTTTTTATAAAGGTGAAACATACAGAACTGGATCCTTATTCAACATTGTTTAGGATCTAAGTAAAGGTATCATAGGTCGACCTTAAGCATACGAGGTCGGCCAGTGCTCTGCCTACGGGGTTGTCCGCTTTGATTATGTGGTCGACCTCTTGTTATAGACGATTGAAATCGTAAATTCCTTGAAATCCATAATTGTTATAAAAATCTAATAAAATAAATACATTCAATATCCAAAAGGAAACAACCTCGCAAATACAAATTCAACATTTTGTCTAAATAATGCAACATTGTAGCTTAATGACTTCATTTCTTTTCTTTTTCGTTTGAACTTTTTCTCTCTTTGCCCCATTCCATGCATTCATCTACTACATGCTTGAAAAGATTTTCTCGTGCACAGTTTTCAAAATGTGTAGACAGATACCATAGAATCTCCTTTCGAACCGGTAATTTGTGTTCTTCCCCTATCTGCATTATGGCATATAAGACTCCGTTAGAACTAAAAAATACAAATTAAACTAGTTTTTTGTTTGACGATATACTAACCACTCTATCCATATCCTTGGATCCATAGCGCATCCACTGCAAAAACCAAAATAACAGAAATGTCAATTGTGATTTGCACAGTACAGGTCAACCTATTCACAGTCAAGGTCGACCTCATTGGCTAAACGGTCGACCAAATGTACTACTTAAAAAAACGTCTCTTCCTTGTCCCAATTCATGTCTCCAGCATTTTCTTTAGTAACAACATGAAAACTAGTCTTCAACTGGATTTTGCAGATTTTTTTTGAATCCTTCTAGGCCCTCCACTTTCAAGACCTACAAATCATAGTTAAAATTGAAATTAGATATGAACACAAACACACATTATAGACGAATATGTAACGTAAACTTACTACGTGCTTTTCGAAAGGAGTCTTAGATTCATCTTTGTCGCTATCAGCACTAAATAATCCTTTTTTTAGTAAATGATCCTTCTGTGGAGTGGTGTAGGAGTCACTTTCATGTCGAGGTTTCTTACACTTAGGAGAGGAACCATTGCTGCTAAACGTTATTTCACTCTGTCAAACATATAAACATAGCACTAATGACAGTAATACTAATATCTTCACTCACATATGAATATACTTGTCTACCTTTAACTTGTGTTCTTTCAATAAATCGTATATGCTCGTATAGCAATTTGCAGAGTCATCATGGTCTTCCTCCTCTTCATCAAAGTCAAATTTCCTTCTTGTACCATCTCTTCCTCCATTCTCCATTCGTTCTGCACTTATTTCTTTGATAGCACTTTCTAGCCTCTCAAAACTATCATGCATCATCCCAGTCATATCTGTCAATCGAACAGACAATTGCTCCACTGTATCACGAATGGACTTCTGATAGTCATTGAATTCTTTTTGACACACAACCAGCTGCTCTTGTGTGGCTTACAACACTTTCATGATTTCACCCAAATCGTGTGTTGTCTCTCATCATGCGTCGTCGTCTAAATAATTTAACGAAAAATTCAAATCATAATTCAACTTCAATTTTCCACAATTGACCAAAAACAGAGACGTGGTCGACCTGACATATTATTAGGTCGACCTTAAAGACAATCTGTCTCTACCAGAACCATTTAGGTCGACCTTTGCTCTTCCTAGGTCGACCTATTCAGCAGGAAAATACTAATTTACCAACAAAAGCAAGTGTAATATTACCACGAGCAATGAATAGGTCGACCAGACAGATTGACCGGCCGCCTTTTAAGCACAACATAGCCTTACAAACAAAGCTAAAGTCGACATTCAAGATGAACAACCAAAACAAACAGGAACGGTCGACCTTGAAAAACATTAGGTCGACCTATTGGTTTGATCTTCCTTACCTCGGAAGTACGGAAGTCCCAGTGTTGTGCCCTAAATTCAATTTCGAGCAATTGTCAAACAGAGGTCGACCTGATTGAGATAAGGGTCGACTGAATGGTATTCTGCACGCAACAATACATCAAATTAAACGATGGTAATTACGCATTAGACAAGATGATGGCGAATGCTATATTAGGTCGACCTCACCTTTGGCGTGGTCAACCTCTTACAACACGTACAACAGCAATCGCAAAGGATCTTCTTTACAAAGGCTCTAACCGTAAAAAAAAAAAAACCTAATTCAGAGTTTCGATGGCGGTGAAGGTGACATATATTCGTATTTATAGATATTTAGGACGTGAATGGGTCGAATTAAGTGGTAGATAAGTTAGGGTTACCTTTCTGGTGTTGGAATCCTTATCCAATATGGATACGGTGTGCACGCGGTCGACCTAGTACTTATGTGGTCACTAGTTAAGTGCAACATGGTCGGCCTATGAGGTATTTGGGTCGACCTTTCATTTTGTTCGCTTCCCAAATAGGTCGACCATTTGCTATAAACGGTCAACCGAGTCGTTAAAACTCACAAAACTGAAACAGTTAGGTCGACCGAAAAGTCCATGTTACGGTGACATGCATGTCACCATAACAAAGTCCTATTAGATTTATAGGCAAATGTTATCTTTCAAAAACAAAAAAAGAAAACAGAAGGGAATTTTATTCGAAAAACCTACTGCGCAAATTGGGATGACACACATGATAAATAAGAAAAACGAAACAGATCATAATGATTGTGTTTAGAAATAAGCTAGACCGACCGACTGTAACACATCTTGTTATATTTAGAAATAATAATATATACTAGTTTTTTTGCCTACGCTCCGCCGCGGTAAGAACTAATACTTTAGTTGAAATCAAATAATTTTACAAAATCATTCATATAAGATACTTACGTAAGTTTCACATAGTGTCTTAATCATTACGAAAAACATACATCATCCTATTGTTTAAGTGATATATAATAAATAATTATCGCTACATATAAATTTTATGAATGAATTTTATAATTCTTGTGACTGTTATAGAACATTTTTTATGCAACTCTTTCATCATGTGTGGCTAATAATAAATTTAAATTTAGAAAGTAACACATGATTAAACTGTTATGTCAAAGTCAACTAACCTTGCATAACCTTTTCATAATGCGTATTAATGACATGTTAAGTATTTTAATTAAAAAAATGATTTTTGGTTAATAATGAGGAATAATTTAATATGGTTCCTATTATTTAGGCGAAAATGACTTCCCGTAATATTGGTTGTACAGTATCCTAAAATTGGTTGTTACTAATTATCAAAAAAAAAAAAAAAAAATTGGTTGTTACTACGAAAAGAAAAAAAGCTTTTTTGTAATGAATATATAAAAAGTGCTTGTGCTATATATATATATAGTCTAATAATAAAATTAAATTTTAGAAAGTAACATATGATTAAATTGTTATATCAAAGTTAACTAACTTTGTAGAACCTTTGCATAAGCAAATTGATGACATGTGAAATATTTTAGTTAACAATTATTTATGTAACTGCTATAGAATGTTTACATAAATCTTTCATAATGTGTGATCAAATAATAAAATCAAGTTTAAAAAGGAACATGTAAATATGATTAAACTTTCATAATAAAGTCAACTAACCTTGCAGAACCTTTTTATAATGCATATAGATGACATGTTTAAACGATAAGAAATAACTATCCCCGTAAGTTTTACATAATGCATTTTATTTAATTGATACATAAGAAATAATTTCCCCATAATTTTTACATAATATATTTTAAATTTATCCAAATATTATAGAGTAAATCCTCCTTAATATGCGGTCTAACATTAAAATCAAACTACAAAAAATATCACATTTTATTAAACTATTATGTAAAAGTTAAACTATTTTTGTAATGCAAATTAATGAGATGGTGAATATTATAGTTAATAATAAAGGAATTAAGTTATAAAAACAATCACATTTGCTACATTATTATGCGAAAAATAACTGACTTTACTGAACTTTTGTGTAATGAAAAAAATGAGATGGACAACCATTAAGTTAATAATAAATGAATTTTTCTTAAGATTGACGTAGTGTCTTAATTGTTACGTAAATTATCTGTGGTATGACATAATTTTATGGGGACAAAAAATACATATACACATGACTATGGCGGAAAAAGGCTTCATAAAATTGGGTAAATTATATGTAATCTAGCGTACGCTATGCAACTGCGTTCACACCTAATATTAGTACTTTGATAATTTCGAATGATCATGCTCCAAACTCCGATTAATTCATGGTCTAAATAACAATACTCAACTGGTGTACGATAAGATAAGCGGAAGCTAGCCTTGGTACATGGAAAGAACCCCAACAATAAAAATATTATTTTTTGCAAATGAATTTGATTGTTAAAAGAAAGGTTGCATTGGACCCGGTTGCATGCGATATGGAGCCATCGTGAACAGTGTTCCGGGAAAAGTGTTGGGGAGCCGTTGAGAAGCTTGCCACACTAACCATATAGAGTTTCATTGCTTTGCGATAATATCGTGATGAACAGTAACAAAACTTGTGCTATTAGTTATTAATAATTAATATTATATATATTATATATTAAAATAATTAATTATTATATATATTTGTTGACAACCTAGCTCCCGTTTTTATGGGCATTGATTTTTTTTTTGTCAAAAGATATCATGTATTGATCCAAAAAAATAGATAGTTACACCCTGGAAGCCAGCCAGACCTGGAAATCAAAAAAGCGACTCATAGTCGGATACAAAGAGAGGGCTTTCCTAACTACCAAATGAGCTACCCTATTGTTCTCCCGACCTACAAAACGCACACTAAAACCACGCTGAGTACGAAAATAATGACCAATCTCTTCCAGAACAGCACCCAACCGGCTATCTCTTGTATCGGCTTGATTAATTTTGTCAATAATCACTTTCGCATCGCCCTCAAATCGGACCTCCGACAAGCCTTGCCCCATACACCAAATAATAGCTTCCCTGAGCACAAGCAACTCACCACTGCAGGCTCATCCATTTGAGGCAACTGAATCCCTCTAGCCAGAAGGAGAGTCCGCGCTGGGCCAAGGAGAACCATCCCACCAGCCGAATGCGACCCACCCTTAGTAGCCCCGTCCCACATGCAAACCAAATGGGAATCATCCATCTGCGCTGTAGGTTGCATCATCGGGATCGTCACCCTCGGAGCTTGATCCGCAGGCAGGCCCACCCATTCCTCATACTGTTGGTAAAATTGCCTCATTAGCGCCGGGATCCCAAATTTCCTGCCTTCAAAGACTACCCAATTACAAGATCGCCAGATCCTCCAAAGGATGGCAACAACAGCCATAACCAAAGACGGTTGATGAATAAGCGCCATAGGACGTTTGAGGAATAAAGGAAAAGTGTGCCGAGGCAAACCCTCCCCCAAGTAATCCAGCCCAGAATAGTCCCAGAGAGCCCGCACAACCGGACAATAAAGGAACAGGTGTTCCATCGTCTCCAGGCCACCCCAACAAACTGGACACCGAGGTAGCACAGTGACCTTTTTCTCAATAAGCGCCTCCGTAGTCGGAAGGGCCCGTTTAAGAATTTTCCAAAGAAAGACTGTTAACTTCGGTGGGATCTTCGCCTCCCACACTCTAATCCAACTCGGCCTATCCATCCAACCAACCGAGGACCGCCACCCACCCCTCCTCCTGTCCAAATCGAGCGCCAAATGGTACGCCGAATTAACCGAGAAAACCCCGTCAGCCGTGTAATGCCAGATAAGCTTATCAGGCACATTGCATCTCGGAAGAGGAATATCCTTAATATCCCTACAAGTATGCGGGTCAAACCATTGACTGAGCTTCTCCTCAGACCACCTCCCCCCCCCCCCCCTCTCACAGATAACCTCCGCCAC